TCGCACACTTCTGATGAGAGTATTAGTCATAGCACTACTGCTACTACGACGACTACTACTACGACGACTACTACTACGACGACGACGACTACTACTACGACGACGACTACTACTACTACTACTACTTCGACTTCTTCTACTACTACTACTACCACTACTACTACTCCTCCTGCTACTGCTACTGCTACTGCTACTGCTACTGCTACTGCTACTGCTACTGCTACTGCTGCTACTACTACTACTACTGCTATTGCTACTGCGATTGCTGCTGCTATTGCTATTGCTATTGCTATAGCTGTTGCTATTGCGGTTGCTATTACTATTGTGATTCCGGTTGCTTTTGCTATTATTCGTATTCTTGTTATACAATACTATTACTGTTTCGATTAGTTTTACTATGTGTTTTGGTTGACTATTTCTATTTTTATTTCCATTGTTTTGCTATTGCGATGACTAGTACTCTGACTAGTACTTCCAAAATTGTTTTTTGTAAAAAAATCTTCGGTTACCTTACTATGACCCTTATGATTGCGAGTGCTACCATTCCTGTCACTATCTGCTTTCGCGCACCAGGAGGAGCCCTCGACAATGGTCGGGGCCTCAAAGACGGAAAACGGAGTTTCAGAAAATTAGGGACACCAATACCCTAAACCCTAAACCTTTTGGTTACAGGATCTGTTTTTGCCGAAGCCGTGCAGAATGCTTTTGAAATTGAAACTTCTCAGGTCAAGATTGTGGCCGGCCACCCCTTGCTCGTGTGCTTCCTGGTCATGGCGGGAACAGGGCTGACTATAGGGGCGTTCTTGAAGAATAAGGGGCCTTAATAATTACCAATACTATTCTGGGAGTTCCGTATTATAATTATAGTATAATATACCCCAAAATCTTACTCTAATTATTCAGGCCCCTACATTATGACTTTGATCTGCCATACCCCGAAACCCTTGGGCAAAGTATTCGGTGTCGTCGTAAGTTGCGTTTCTCATCTTGGAAGACGTGCCTTCTTTTCCTCCGTGGAGTATGGGTGGCAGCTCCGGGATCCGAACATATCCTAAATGCATGTGTATCGTTACTTTTTTTCTTCATTACTACTATCACTATTCATATTACTATTGTTGTTATTTCTATCATTACTATTGGGATCCTTCTTGCTATTGGCACTATTGCTGTTGCGATGCATAGTCTTCCTCTGAGTAGTATCATTACCGGTACTAGTGATTACTAGTGTTCTAACTGTTACGACTATTAGTGTTCCTGGCATTGGTTGTTTGTTGGATGATTACGCGAGTTGTTTCTTCTCTCTTGTCTTGTACTTGGTCAAGAGGTGCCTAACCCACAAGCATCCCCCAAGCCCTGATGTTGGAGTACTTGCCAGTACGATTCCTTCGGGATTCTTAGTTTTAATGTACAGAAATCTATACTCCAAAACTCTATTCTTGTTTATTGAGGCCCTGATATGAATCGTAAACCCGAAACCCTAAACTAAACCCTAAAAGCCCCTAAACCCTAAACCCTTATACCCCCAAAAACCTCTGAAACCCCAAAACAGACCTGACGGCGAAAATCCCCTGGGAAGGTCCTCACCGGAGCGTTTGCATGCACCGAAGTCAGCCAGGCACGGCTTTTTTCGTGCCCAAAAAGTGCAGAGAATTTTGGGTTTAGGGTTTAGGGTTTATAAGGGCCCAAAGAAGGCAGCGAATTTTGGGGTTTTAGGCTTGCCCGGGCCCCTTGCGGTGCAGCTGCGGCTGCTCAAGACTCCCAAGATCTCACAAGACTTCGACCTCTTTGAGGCTCCAGTCGCGTCGCTTAGGCTTCTCCTCCCGGGCCTTTTCCACCAGAGTACCTTTAGTTTCGAATTCCCAAGCGCATCAAAAGTGATCCTTACCCTTGGGCTCCATTGTAGTTCCTTTTGGGGATTGCTTTATAGGATCCTAAATCTGAACCACAAAAAGGAAAGGAACTACCCATGGAGCCTATGGGTATTGCTGCAGAGGCCACACCCGCTGGCCCGCCTGAGAAGCGCGCGGACTACAACACCTTCCTGCCGCCTGGACTCATCAAAGCTGAAGGCTTCGGAGCTTTCAGACCCTCCAAAAACCCTCTTCGGAAGGGGATGGCGAGGTAAAAATAGGGCTTCAAGAAGTAGAATAATCGTGGTATGTTAAGTATTCTAAACTACCTTAAGGGGGCAACAGTAAATAGTGTATGTTAAACTGTTAAGTATTCTGCATTAGAGAAGAGGGAGGGGGGGGGCCGTTCAGGAGAGTTCTGTAAGGGCCCCAATCTCCAGGATGATGCAGAACATCCTGTGCTTTGCGTCCGGCTACGTCAACGCCGGGGCCCCAAGAGCACCGGCTCGGCCGATGGCAGGTTCAGTGGTTTAGGGTTTAGGGTTTAGGGAGGTAGGTTAACAATTACCAATACTATATGGGTTCCAGATTATAAGTATATAGGGGCCTTAAGAATTAGAATAGGGTTTTTGGGGTTCCGTATTATAAGTATAGTAAACATATACCACCAATCCCTATTCTAGTTATTAGGACCCCTGCAGCTGGTTCGCAACTGTTGCTGCCGCCTTGAGACCTTTCATTATAGGCCTTGACCATCATCGACATGGGCATGACCGTGTCCCATCAGACTGGCAACACCAGCCACGCAGGACCCGCTACATGTGAGCCGGCCGTCAACTTGACCCGTCAAGTGTCCGGCATCCCCACCAGACCAGGGTGCTGGTTTCGTTTGCAGGACGCCTGATTATGAACGGTGGAGCCGCATTCTTTCACCTCATGGCCGCGTTCGCTGCCGGCAGCTTCGTGGCAGGCGCAACTGATCCAGCCTCCTGCTCCTGTCTAGCCGCGTCTCGATGCTGTCCTGGCAGGCTACAGCAAGTCTGACGGTGAGGCAGTGCCTTGGATGCAGTGGATTATGTGGAATCCGCGATGTCGTCAACACATTTGTGCAAGTAAAGACGGCACTGAGCTGCCCTGAAAGCCGCGATGCCGTCACCCCGGTCCTTGCATGCCAAGGTCTACCAGGGCCGCTACTCCCCCAACATGCTCGCATCCACTTTCTGCGTGCCGGGGCCGCTTTGGGTGTAGCTTTGCAGGGGCCTCCTCCGTTTCTCTAGTGTTCACGGTTCCCTGCGCGCCTCAAAACTTGAGGTGCTTGGCGGCTGCTTGGTCCACTACTGCAAGGCAATCGCTCCTGGGGGGCAAACATCAGACTGAAGGATAGACTTCAGGTTCACATACGTATCAGAGCAGCTGTTGTTGTGATTGTCAGTGTTATTGGTTTTATTACGACTATTACGGCTATTGGTTTTGTCATCCTTATTAATTACGTAAGTACGGCTATGGATAATACGAGTATCATTCTTACCCTTGCTACTGCTTATTGTTGCGGTCGTTGTTACTTCGAAAATTAATCGTATTAATATCAAGGCCATTATCACTAGCGTATTTGTTTCTGCTTTGCTGTTATTGATATTGAATTGCTATGTTACTACTACCATCTGCTACTGCTGCTACTGCTACTACTACTACTGCTGCTACTGCTGCTGCTGCTGCTACTACTATTACTACTACTAGTTACTGGTAGCACTACTGCTCCGACCACTGCAACTACTACTATTACTATTGGTACTGCTATTACTGCTATGACTATTACTGTTGCCATCACTATTGGTATTCTGACGTTTAGAACTACGATTACTACGATTGTTATCATTTGTCTTGATGTATTACCAATAGTGTTGTTGCTTGTATGATGATGGTATTCCAACTGTTCTGTTTTCATTTTCAATCGTATTAGTGTACTGTATCATTGTTATTAATACAAACATGATTCTTGTTTATCGTGCTATTACATATACTGTTGGAATGGTATTATGGTTGTTGTAATTGTTACTGTCAATATTCTGCGTATTAGTATTGCTGTCAGTCTTATTCTGATTCTATTCATTTTTATGGCAACGGTGATGATTCTGACTACTGTTGCTCGTTTTGGCATGGTATTTCTATCCGCACCCAACTATTATTATTACTATTACGATTATGACTATGATTATTCTGATTCTAATATTGTTGAAGCAACTGCAGTAGCAGTTGTTGGTGCCATGGCTGCTGTCTTCCAGCATAGTCCCGTGTGCCCTACTCTAAGTCTGTTGGATGCGAGTTTTCCCAACACCCCACTCGAATCATTGTGGTCAGGACATTCAAAGCTCGGAGGGCGATGGTCGTTTCGAATGACGATACAATACTCATACTTAATAAGTCATTAAGTTAATCGTAGTAAGAATGGTATGGATGATATTGTTAGTAGCTATATTGATAAGAAACCAGAGTGTTAAAGCAACCAGTACATAATCAGGCTCCTTCATCCCATGGGAACCCTAAACCCGAAACCCACATAACCCTCAACTCTAAAACCCCGTATACCGTATAACCCAAAGCCGTAAACCCTCAAGTCAAAGCCCTACACAACCCTAAACCAAAAAGGAAGCATAATACTCTAAAACCTAAACCCCGAAGGTCTGAACCCTATAAGCCCCAAAACTCAAGAAGCCTCAAACTCTAAACCCTCAACTTTAGAGCCTTTCAAACTCCTTCTAAACCCTTAAACCCTCAACTTTAGAGCTTTTAAAACTCTCTAAACCCTACACCCTCAACTTTAGAGCCTTTCAAACTCCTTCTAAACCCTTAAACCCTCAACTTTAGAGCTTTTAAAACTCTCTAAACCCTACACCCTCAACTTTAGAGCCTTAAAAACTCCCGCTAAGCCCTTAGAGCCCTAAAAATCGCGAGGCAGCGGACGGCGTCGGCAACGATTCCCACTCTGAGTCGCTGCTGCTCTTCGCCTTCTCCCAGG